CAACATACACATAAACACACGCACACACACATACAAACACACACACACATATATATGTCTATATCTATATTTATTACAGTCGACTGAAACACACCTTAATATTTATTATTATACTTTATGAACATTTTTTCAGATGCTATTGTATTGAATACACACACAAAAACACACACATACACACGAAAACACACACACATACATACAAACACATAAACGCGCACACACACATAATATAATATTAATAGTAATTATTATAATATAATATAATATCAATTATTATAATACTTTATGGATGATTATCTTTTCCAGATACTACCAGCTGAGAACTACTCTTAAATTAAATCCAAAAATATCCTCAAGCGTTGAGATCAGACATAAAATTAAATGCAAAGGTTGTGTAGTTTTTTTTTAATCAGAAGTTTTTCTTCCATTTTTTCGTTTCTGTTCTGTTTCTTTGTTTTTTGTATGTGTTTTGTATGTTGTATGTATGTGTTATTGTACGTTGTGTTTATGTGTTATTATATGCTGTTTGTATGTGTTGTTGTATGTTGTTTGTATGTGTTATTGTGTGTTGTTTGTATGTGTTATGGTATGTTGTTTATACGTGTTGTTGTATGTTGTAGTTATGTGTTATTTTATGTTGTTTGTATATATTATTGCATGTTGTTTGTATTTGTGATTATATATGTTTTATGTATGCGTTATTGTATGTTGTATGCTCGTAATATTGTATATTGTATGTATGTGTTGTTTTGTGTCTTATGTACGTTTTGTTGTATATCGTATGTAAATGTCATAGTAAGTTGTATGTATGTGTTACTGTATGTTATATGTATGTGTTATTGTATGTTGTATGTATGCGTTATTGTATGTTGTTTGTATGTGTTATTGTATGTTGTATGTATGTATGTTTTTACGAAATAAAATAATGATCTGTTCTGTTTTCATATAAGCCATCATCACACAATTACACACTCATTTATATTTATTTATATTTTTGTATGGTTTCTTTTTTTTGGCTCTTTTTATTTTTTTTTATTGAACTATCTTTTTTTTTGAATGTAATTAATTTCATAAAATGCTACTGCTACTACTACTACTACTTTTACTACTATTTCTACTGCTACTACTACTACTACTACTACTACTACTACTACTACTACTACTACTACTACTACTACTACTACTATACTACAACTACAACTACTTCTACTACTACTACTAGTACTGCTACAACTGCTGATACCAATACTGCTACTAATACTAATGCTATAAATGTTTGCAAAGTCAGGTAGTGAGTTCAAGCCGAGCACGAGTAGCAACGTGGCTCGTACGAAGACCTTTCAAATCCTCTACAGGAAGGAAGATGTGGATATATTCGATGCCTTCCTCTTCAAAGTCGAACTGCTCGTGGATATTTTAAAAGTCAATTTCCACTTGTTTAATTTGTTTTAGTCTGATTTGTTGATATTTTAAAAGTGAATTTTGATTATTATTATCATATGCAAATGATGACCTGAATGTGGCTTTTCAACTTTATCAATTTTGTCCATATTTTCATGTTTTCAGAAAGAATGTTAGATCCTTATCATTATCATCATCATCATCATCATCGCCACCATCATCTTCATCATCCTCATCACCATCATCACTTTGTATGAATATCACCATCAAAGCATAGATTTGTAATATCTGTCTGTAGCATGTCTTTTGATTATTTGCATTGGTCGTTTGGGTTGTATATTGTTTATCTTGGTTATTATATGTATCTATCGTTTTTCTGATAGGTTGTATATCATACTGAACATCTGTGTGTGTACGTGTTTGTGTGTGTATATATATATATATATATATATATATATCTAGTCAATTTGGATTTATATATATATATATATATCTATTTTCTCATTTAATATAACGAGTGTTTATATGTGTGTGTATATAGTCTCTTATTTAATATTTGGAAGTGTATTCTGTTTTGTATTGTTAAGTGATTTTTATGTGTTGTATATATATATATATATATATATATATATATATATATATATATATATATATATATACGCACGCACACTAACCACACGTGTATATATATATGTGAGAAACATATACATATACATGAGAAGCTTATGTGCCTAACTCTTCCAAGTGGTTATAGGTGCACTTTAAGTTGTATATCTACTTGAGTGTTTGTATGTATGTATGTTTGTTTGTTTATATGTATGTATGTATGTGTGTGTGTATGTATAAGTCTGTATGCGTTGTATTGTATAAGTATGTATAAATGTCTGTATGCATATATGTGAGTTCATGTGTGGTGGTGTGTATGTGTGTGTGTGTGTGGTGGTGTGTGTGTGTATGTCTTTTGTTTTTTGCTATGTTTTGTGAGCATGCATTTGATAATATATATATATATATATATTGAATAAGAAAATAAATTTAACAATAAATCTATATCAGATATCTTTTTTATTAGTATTCTTTCCATTGCAGCCACATTATTATTCTTATTATTATTTGTTGCTTGTTCATACATACATATAATGTTACATTGATCTTCCCATGCTGGCCACCTACTTTTTATTCATTGGTATATAAGATTTCAATAATTTTTGTCTGATGGATTAATTGGGTGATTGGTTCGTTTGTTTTTGAATGGTTGCTGGGTGTTTGGGTCCCTGCTGATTGGTTGTTGGCTGATTGTTTGTTGGCTGATTGGTTGTTGACTGATTGGCTTGTTGTTGTCTTTTTGTTGATTGGTTAAGTTATACTTGGTTGGTTAATTTTGATTTATACTTGGTTGGTTGATTTGTTCTCTAGTACTTTTATTTAACAAATACTAACATTTTTCTTATTTTTTAAAACAGATGGAAGATGTTTTTAGAGACTTAGATATGCAATTCGTGGTTGAAATGTGGTTCACAGAAGACGACGTTGTGTAAGTTTTATAGTGATAATAGCAACGATAACGATATTAATTAATGACGTAAAAAATTTCTAAATCCTCCCGACCAACAGTTCAGACCACTCAGACAAATTCCAGCAGCTCTGTCAGAGGTCAATCAAGTTGAACTTTGACCCGCTGAAAGGTCTGCACGGTAACCTGCCCTTGATATTCGATTACTTTCACTTGTCTGCTGTCAATCTGTCTGTTCACGCGAGTCTCGTGGCCTTCAAACAATCCAAAGCCATTGGCGGTTTGAGGTTGTTGTTGGCTGTTTGGCGATGGTGTTATCACTACTGTTGTTTATATTGTTGTTACTGTATTTTATATATGTTGTTTTTTTTACAGTTAGTTTTGATTAATGGTGATGACAATGGCCAGTAATTTGGCGGCGCGATGGCTTAGCGGTAAGGTGCCTGGCATTGCTATTGCAATGACCAGATTCGACTGCAAACAGACCCTTGCCCATTACATGCAATGAGTCTGTGTGGTGCGTTGTTTTGCTGTCGTTGGTGCCTCTGATAATTATTGGAGAGATAATTGCAGCAAACAAATAAATAAATCAATCAATAAATTATTAATAATTAAATTAATTAATAAATATAATATTAAAAAGTAAATGTTGTGTAATCTGGAAACATTTTTTTTCATGCCAGCTCTCTCAAATCATCAGCAATTAAACAACAACAGCAACAAAATATGAGCCACAGACAATTTCAACCACCGCCACCACCGTCATCATTAACAGCGGCATTAGCACAGCCATCGTCGTCGTCTTCATCATCATCCATTCCTTCATCTTCATCATCATCGTCCAATTACGCCTCTCTTGATTTGAGTGTTCTAGAATTCGCTTTGTTTGGCCCGCCACTACAACCTAATTCATCCAATAAGGTGATGTTTGTCTGTTGGTGGTTTGTTTGTGTGTGTGTGTGTTTTTTTGTTAACCCCACACACACATATGCCAATTGGTTAACATGCCATTTAGCTTTGATACACACGCTAATATATTTTCAAATTTATGTTAATTTATGTTAATTAAGTTTACCAGATTGTTTACTTAGTAACACGCATTTCCATACTAATTATTATTCATATATGTCATCTGATATTTCACCCTACATTAGCATAATCATTCACGTTGGCATTATTTATGCGTATCTTTCATAATCAAACTTTTACGTTTTTCTCATCATCGTAATTTATGCGTATTGCTCATTATCATAATTTATGCCAACGCAGAATATAGCTCAAGTGCAAAAAACAAGACGTGTTATTGCCTGCCAGAAGCATCATCTTATGTGCAGGTTATTTCTTTCTTGTTTCGATGTATCAGACATGTATTGGCCATGCAAACATACGCGCGCAAACACACACTTATACATACATAAACACACACATACATACATATATACATACACACATACATTCGACCGAAACAGCTCTATTGGATATGTTTTCTCATGTTTATTCAGCATTTAATGTACAAATTGTAAATTATAATATTAATGATTTGTAATAGATGACAATAATAGTATGATGCCATTGTCTATAAAAGGTATTTGTTGTCGGCGTACGAGAGCATCCAATCTTCATTTGAGTTGCTGGTCACTTGTCTTCCTCCTCACAAACAAATTGCCATTGGTCAGTTCTTAACATTTAATATCTTGTTTATTTATTTGTTCGTTCATTCATTTATTCATTCATTCATTCATTCATTCATTCATTCATTCATTCATTCATTCATTCATTCATTCATTCAGAGAATATTGATTGTGTGTCGAAAATGGAAGAGTTGGTTCTTAAATGCGAGGTCGGTCTGTTTGCTTGCTGGCTATGATGATGATAGTAATGATGTTGATGATGATGATAATGATGATGTTGATGATGATGATGATGATGATGTTTACGATGAGGATGATGCTGTTCTATATTTTATTTCTTTAAAACATTAAAAATTGAAACATAGCACAGAACGGCTGACAAAAGATGAAAAATCATTCATGAAAATTATTTTATTATCTTTTCCTTATTTAGAATCTTTCAGAAATGGTTGATGCGGAGGAAGAGGACATTCTGCAAATAGTTTACTCCGACATCACTAACCTGAACACGCAGCTTTCCATACTCTGGGTCCAATACCTGGAGTTGGTTTTCTTCAATAGACCGATAGCCTACAAGCTGGCTAAAAGTTATCATTCACATAGAGTTAGTATTTAGGGATTAGTGTAGTTTTGTGTGCGTGTGTTTATGTGTGTGTGCGTGAGTGTGTGTTTGTGTGCGCGTGTTTGTTTGTTTATCTGTTTTTATGTATATTCAATTATATATGTTAATTAATTTCATTACTGTTTTTTTTTATTTTAACTAGTCCCAGAAGAATCACAATTAAATTTTATTTAAGTTTAGTTTCATTCACTCACTTAGTTATTAACTCATTTAGTCAATCATTTATTCATTCATTTATTCATTCATTTATTCATTCATTCATTCATTCATTCATTCATTCATTCATTCATTCATTCATTCATTCATTCATTCATTCATTCGCCCATTACATTCGCCCATCAACTCATTCAGTCAATCATTCATTTACTTATTTATTCACTCTCACACTCATTCATTCACACGTTCACTCATTCACTTGTGAAGGTGAAAAGATTCTCAGAGGCATTCTTCCTTCAGGAGTTTCCGAAAAGTGAAGTGCTCAACTGCTTTGACGCCAAGTGAGTCGTTCTTCATCTCGTGAAGATGACGACGACGACGATGAACGTGATAACGACGACGATGATGATAATGATCATAGGGATGACAGCTATGATGATGATGATGATGATGATTGTGGTGATGATGATAATGATGATGATGACGGTGATAATGATAATGATGATGATGGTGGTGGTAATGATGATAATGACGATGATGATGACGGTGATGGCGGTGATGATGAAAATGAGCATGTTGGTTTGAAAGTTGGAATAGAAAAGATATTTGATGATGATAGGATGTAAGAGGTTTATTTTCACAGCTAATTGCGTTGATATCTCTCTCGGGGTCACCCTTATTATCATTCGTCACTTGCAGTGGCGAATATTATATCACGCACACACACACGCACATACACACATAAACATACACACTCACACACACATACACACTCACACACACACACAACGCACACAGCCAACATAGACATTCAGACATCTCAACACGTGTCCGCCTGTCCGAGTACTTCAAAACGATACCCCCCTTACCTTTCGAATGCTCGGAAATGGACGGCGACCACCTCTCTCTGCCCATCATATTCGAAGACGTCTTCGGCAGCAGCGGCATCAGCGACGGCCACAACGCTCTGATTGTTGCGTCAACGAAAGATAATGCTGGCCAGCAACAAAACGTCTCGGTGGGTGGTGTGAAGAGGACCCCCACCGTGAACAGGTGGGCCCAGAGGAACAACTCCCTCAAGAATGCCAACAAGTGTGTCGTTTCAAATGTTGCGAAGAGTAACAGCAATGATAATGTCACTTCCAGCAGCAACAACAACGTCACCGTCGATGGCGCTAACATTAACAACAACAACAATAATAATAATAATAACAACAACAATAATAATAATAATAGCGCGAACAATAAAGCCGTAAAAGCGGGAATAGTTTATGTTAGCGAAGTTAACGTTGCGTTGAACAGCAGCTCATCAAACTACTTGCCACTTTCATCCGCTACAGCTGCATCATCTACCATCATGACGTCATCAACAGCAGCAATTGCAACATCGCGAAGTAGAAAAACATCGGACACGCCATCTTCGACGGGCTCACTGGACTCCAACAACTTTTTGGCGTCGTCGGCAACGAAACAGCAACAACGACACAAATCGAGGATCAGCAAATTCCGTCCTGAATCACTTCTGCTGATGTCGTCTGGTAGCAGTTGGCAGCAGCAACAGCAGCTTATTTCGAATGGCCTTGATTTTAAAGGTCACCAAGTTGCTTACGACGCTAATGATTGCATGCTGGTTGGGTACAAAAGATTCAACGCCAATCAAAATATAACCACACCTCCAATTGAACTTGGCACTTTTAATAAAGGAGGCTCATTTGAATGTTTAGACGATGGTGTTACTAAAATATCAAGCAACTTTAATAATATGACTATGCAACACACAGCAACTGATCCTTCAATAGACAACCACAAGCCAACTACAACATCATGCATCCCTTCAAGTTCAGCAAACACATCCTCTCCACAGAAACAACAAATATCGATGACGTCAGAAAAACAGCAGCAGCTGCAGCAGCAGCAACAAAATTACTCGACATCATCCTCAACAAAAACGCAACGACAAAAACAGAGCCAACTACAGCAGCAGCATTCCCAACAATCATCGTGCTTCCTGTTCAGCGCTACATCATTACCGACACTGAATGATGAGGAAGATGACGTCACTGACAACATAACCACGCCAATTTTAAACTCTCAATGCCTATTGGCTGGCGGGACTGGGGGTGGCTCCCTGCCTGAACTGATCGGGGGCATTGCAAAGGGGAGTTCAGAAAGTTCTGGCATTTCAAGGTTCATTTTTACTGGTTTTTTTCTTATCATTCCATTTTTGAGTGTGTTTGTTATAAGCATGTTCGTTGTAAATTTATCAATTACACTAATCTACGTCAACTTCACTGACTGCCGTATAACAGGGGGTCTGTCTGCGTGTGTTTTGATGCGCTGATCCCAAATGTCACATCCACTTTAATCAGTCACGGTCTACTTTCCACTGAAAAGGAAAGAAACGAATCGATGTTACCATCGATAAGTTAATAGATGATGCTATGGGAAATTAACAATACGTAAAACAAATGCTCAATATGTGATCTGCATGAATACTATATGAATCTAGAGAAAGCATGTTACACAAAATAAAATATAACGAACAATGCTGGATGTTATGTGGAGACCTGGAAGACTCTTAAGATAACAAAGTGCATACACAACAAAGTGCATACACAACAAGGTGCATACTCAACAAAAAGCATACACAACAAGGTTCATACACAACAAAAAGCATACACAACAAAAAACATACACAACAAAGTGTATACACAACAAGGTGTATACACAAAGTTTTTTTTGTTTCTTGGACATTTAGAAAGAAGTGTGTTTAATTAGACACACACATTTAAGATTGGTTGGAAAAGCATTGAAAATGAGCCACTAGTCAGTGATTGTCGTGCCAAAATTTGATGTATCACACAATTTTTTATTACAAATTTGGAATCAGCATCACTCAAATATTTAAAATCTGCAAAAATATTCAAGCCAGCAGAAAATTCTTTTTCATATGTTAACCAGTGTTATGATTGTGGACAGTAGTAATGACTGTAGTTATGTGTGTGTGTGTGTGTGTGTGTGTGTGTGTCTATGACTTTGCGTAACACATAACCTACACGTTTAGCAATAAAGATGAAGCAGTTGCACTTATGAAAGTGTATTAGTCGTTGTAGTAGAATTGTTGTTGGTTATTGTTGTCGTCACGTTTGTTATAACTGTTGCTACTCTTTTCATTCCTCTAAAATGCTAATTTTACCATTAAAGAACCAATGGATCTGAGAAGACGGAGAACAGCAGCAGCAGCAACAACAACAACATCATCCTGGCGTCTTCCTCCTCCTTATCATCAAAATCGCCGTCACTGCATTCACTACCGATGCCAGCGAGCCTGCTGTCGTCCCAGCAGAAGTACGTGGACACCTATTCGAACCACGACTTGAGCAGCAACTGCGGAAACGTCATCTACTTCTACAATTACGACTACAAAAAGACTAAGGATGACAACCCTGCTAAGACTAGCAACAACAACAATGACGGCGAAAGTAATAATGATAACAGTGATAAGAAGCAGAAGAAGAACGCTGCTCTTAACGATGACGAGAAAACTCCTGTCGTGAAATCGAACAGCGTGATAGGAATACTCTCCCTAAACAACAATGGCAACAACAACAACGACAACTACGCCACGCCCAGCAAAAAACCAACCACAGCCACCACCAGCAACAGGAGCCACATCAACGACGATAGAGATGATTTTTTGCGTCATCGCGAGGAGGACGATGACGTCATGAACTTGACCTTTACGAACGAGATCAACGGCGAAGGAGGGAAACTCAGCTTCAGGGATTCACTCCTGGACATGCCCGATCTCGCCTCCACCCCCAAGTATAACGAGCCCTACGAAGATCAACATTTTAATAATAATAATAATAATTTTTGTGAAACTGGCAGCTATAATAACAACAATAATAGTAATAATAGTAGTAGTAGTAGTAATAATAATAATAATAATAATAATAATAATAATAATAATAATAATAATGTGAGCAATAATGACAGCATCGTTAATAATTCAAATCATCAGAAATCAAAAGCATCGCCATTTTCATCATCATCATCGTCGTCGTCGTCGACGTCATTTGCCGGCAAACCCGCTTCGTCGTCGTCCTCATCATCTGTTGAATGCAGTGCAATGAACAAGACTATAGCGAAAAACTGCAATAATAATAATAATAATAATAATAATAATAATAATAATAATAATAATAATAATAATAATAATAATAATAATAGTAGTAGTAGTAGTAGTAGTAGTAGTAGTAGTAAAAGAGACAGCAGCAACAACAATAGCATCAACTCGTCGTCGGAAGTGACGCGTAAAGATAGCGGCAGTACGCAGGTGTCTAGCCATTATCACCAGCAGCTGACCAGCAGACAGCTGGTCTCCAAGGTCACTGATCAGACGGTCAAGTTTAGCCACGCCAAAGAGCACCTGAGGAATGTCATTGGCTATCATGGCCATTTTTATAGGTCCGGGCAGATTTGGGTTTTTGATTAACCGTACACACGTTTTTTTTCAAATTTAAAAAAAATTCTCAATCCCAATATTTCGCTTAATCAATGGTGATTCAATAATACTACCATTCCAGCGACCATCTGACGCAGACTTCTGTGGAGCCATATTTCTGGCCACCGGAGAAAATGCTGCCATCTTCATCGTCGTCGTCCTCATCCAGAAACGATGGAATCCATCTCATTGTCTGTGTCCACGGATTAGATGGTTGGCATTTTATTATGCTTTAAGTCTAATATGTTTTTCAGTTTTTAAGTATTTGCTACAAAAAAATTTGCATCTACTTACTTGTATTTTTATAAACATAAATCGCAAGCATACAAACTCTCACACGCATACACACTCACACACACACTCACACACTCACACACACACAGGCAACAGTACTGATCTTCGCTTAGTTCGTACCTACTTGGAGATGGCGCTGAGTTCTTCTGGACGCGTGGACTTCCTGATGTCAGAGAGAAACCAGTCCGATACGTTTTCAGATTTCGAGGTGATGACCGATAGATTGGTCAAAGAGATTCTCTACCATATTGATCTCTACAGCATCAAGCCAACTAAAATTAGGTTGGAACCCTGGTTACTAAAAGTAGATTAGGGTTTGATTACTAAAAATTAACTAGGGCTTGATTGCTTAATATAGATTAGATTGTGGATTGATTGCTAAAGCTAGATTAGGGATTAATTAATTGATTGATTGATTGGTTGGTTGATTGATTGATTGATTGATTGATTGATTGATTGATTGATTGATTGATTGATTGATTGATTGATTGATTGATTGATTGATTGATTGTCAGTTTCATAGGGCACTCCCTGGGAAACATCATCATCCGGTCGGCACTGACCCGTCGAGAGATGGCCCCTTTATTGCCCCGTCTGCACACCTTCCTCTCCCTATCCGGCCCCCACCTTGGAATGCTCTTCAACAATAGTGGATTAGTTAATATGGGTTGGTTGAAGTTGGCCATGTTGACGATATTTGTAATGATGATGATGAGAGGAATGATGATGATGATGATGATGACGATGATGATGAGAGAGAGAGATGATGATGAGGGAGATGAGGAAGCAAATAGCCATCGTCAATCAATCATTTAGTCAATCAATCAACTAATTAATTAACAAATCAATTAATTAACAAATCAATTAATCAACAAATCAACCAACCAACCAACCAATCAATCAGCCATTCAACTAACCAATCAATCACCCAGGAATATGGTTCATGCAGAAATGGAAGAAGTCAACCTCCTTACTGCAGCTTTCATTGAAGGACCATCACGATCCAAGACAGACATTCCTCTACAAACTCAGCCAGAAGCCTGGTCTGTTATGATGATAAAAATTATTATGATGGTGATGGCGATGATGATGTTGATAATGATTGTGGTGTTGATGTTAATGATGATGATAAAGTTTCGTGTTAAAATAATTTTTAACATTTACGAATAAGTGTGAATAAAGTTTTTGAGGTGTTTTTCAACGTAGAAGCACTTTCCAACGGCCGAGGTTAAATTTATAAATCACGCAGTGCTGAGGCAGTTCCGAAACGTGCTGTTGGTGGGATCCCAGCAGGATCGCTACGTCCCATTCCATTCATCCAGGATCGAAATATGCAAGGCCGCACTGAGGGACACATCTGGAATCGGTAGGCCTTGGTTGTGGGATGATGGTGTGGAATGGTTGAGTTGAAAGTGCCTGCATCCGCTGCCTTACTGTTATTGCTTTCGAAATCAAAGAAACTAAGTTGATTGCTGTGGGGTTGATTGTTGATTATCTGATTGGTTGGCTCATTGATTGATGGATTGATTGACCGATTGATAGATAGTTTGATTGATTGATTGATTAAATGAATGATTGATTGATTGATTAAATGAATGATTGATTGATTGATTGACTGATTGATAGATATATTGATAGATAGTTAGATTGACTGATTGAGTGGTTGATTGATTGATTGATTAACTTGTTGATTGATTGAAGGATTGATTAGAGAGGTAATTTATAATGCAGGGTCAGTGTACATTGAAATGGTCAACAACCTGTTGAGGCCTTTGTTGGACGAACCAGCAGCACTGACGACATTACAACAACATCAACTGCAACAACAACAACAACATCCATCTTTACTGCCTCCACAATCAGTTTCATCTAAGAAGCCGACCATACAATTCTCAACGCCACAGCACCAGCAGCAACAACCACAGCTAACAACAGCAGTAACAACAAACTCAATCAGCCAGCAGCAGCAGCAGATACAACAACAACTTCGATTGTCATTCCAGCTACCTTCCTTTGCGTCTCCGCTACAACAACAACAGCAGCAACGACAGCAGCCACAACAGCAGCAGCAACAGCAGCAGCGTCACAACACCACACTGGTCCGGTATGACGTCTACCATGCACTAACCAGCAACACCAATCACTTCATCGGCCGTGCAGCTCACATAGCTGTCCTCGACTCGGAACTCTTCATCGAGAAGTTCATCAGCGTCTCCGTCCTCAAGTACTTCCTGTGAATGATTAAAAGTGAACTGTTCAAGTTTTAAAAGTGAACTGTAGATTTAAAACTGCACTACCACTATCATTTTTATTTAAAAGATGGTGACGATGAAGATGACTTTGTTTACTTAGGGGATAAGCTGAATGACTTTGTTTACTTAGGGGATAAGCTGAATGCGGATGGAGGATGTTTGAGCGCAGTTACGGCTAGAGTTCGTGTGGGATGGATGAAATTTAGGGAACTGGGTGGGGTATTGTGTGGAAAGAAATGGTCAGTGAAGATGAAAGGGAGGGTATATAAAGCATGTGTGAGAGCAGCGATGATATATGGTGGTGAAACTTGGGTGTTGAGGAGAGAGTAGGAAAGTGTACTGCAGAGGGCTGAAAGAGCTATGGTGAGGATGATGTGTGGGGTTAAAGTGAAGGATAGGAGGAGTAGTACAGAGCTGATGTCAATGATGGGACTGAATGAGGACATTGTGACATTGATAAGGAGATCGAGATTGCGGTGGTATGGACATGTGTTGAGAAGGGATGAAAGGGTCGGGACTAGGCGAGCGTTGGAGTTCGAGGTTGAAGGAGTGGTAGGAAGGGGTCGTCCGCGATTGGGATGGAGAGAGCAGGTGAAGAAGGACAGGGTGAAAGCGGGGTTGCGTGATACTGAGGCGAGTGACAGATGTGGATGGAGTCGAGGGGTATTTCGGTTTCATCATAGGTAGCCAAACGGCAACCCCCGATCTCGGGGAAAATGCCGTCTAAACGTGTGTGTGTGTGTGTGTGACGATGAAGATGATCACAAGAACGATGATGATGATGATGAAGACGACGGTGGTGATGATGATGATGATGATGATGATGGTGGTGGTCACATTGATGATGAAGACGACGACGATGATGTTGATGGTGATGATAGCGATGACGATTATGATTAACTTTCAGAAGATTCATGCAAGCCATGTGTACTAAATATTCGAAACAGGCATTGTTTTTGTAGAGAAAGAAGCTAAAATTATTTTTATTATTTTTGTCGTTATTATTATTATTATTATTATTATTATTTTCGTTGTTAATTGTAGCAATAATAATAATAATAATAAAAATGAATGAATTTATAATGATAAAAAAGTTAATAAATGCATATCATTGTATTGGTTCCATGATTGTATATGAATATGTGTGTATTTTTGTATGTATGTATGTACGTATGTGTGTGTGTGTGTGTGTGTGTGTGTGTGTGTGTGTGTGTGTGTTGTGTTTGCTTGTTATTGTATATAAAACTGTTTATACATTATTTGTATGTGATGTGTGTATGTGTTTAATTTTGGACGTGTACATATTTTCCGTGTATTTGTTCCTGTAAAAATTCTTATTAGTTAAAGATGCTTTGTTGTTAGGCATGATATCGGCTACATTTTGTGTAGACCAATTTAAATTCAGGATTTTTAATCACCTTCAAACATGTATCTGTTATTGTACACGTGAGTGTGTACGTGTGCGTGTGTGTGTTGTGTGTGTGTGTTTGTGTGTACATATCTGTCCAAAAAAAAGAAGTTCGAATCTTTGATCTGATCATCATTTTATACAACGAGAATAAGTTATGTGATTTTCTCCCTCTCACTCTTTCTCTTTTTCTCTTTCTGTCTCTCTCTCTTTATTTTCTGTATAATAATATCATTATTAATTAATTATTATAGATGCGTTATTTTTTATCTTTAATTTTTTTTTCGTGTCTTGTTGGACTTATTTTTCTCCCGTTCAATTATTCGATTGATTAGGTAATAAACGAATAATTTGATAAATTAATAAATTAATAAATTAATAAATTAATTAATTAAGCTACTTATTTACTTTAGCAGACAATTTGTTCCATCTGTTATTTAATAATTTGAATAAATCTTTTTTATTTTCAAGTGAAATTAATGGAATTATCTTTTCCTTCGTTTTTAATTCAGAATATTTTTCAGTTGTTACGTGTTAAAATTTATTATTTCAATTTAATTGGTAAGTTTTTAAACGTATACATATGTGTGCTTATAATTAAAGAGTTTTTTTTTATTTTTTTTCTTTTCGATCAATCAATAAATCGATTAATCAATCACTCAATCATTTAACCGATACATCGATCAGTCATTTGACCAATCAATCTTTTAAATGTTCGATCACTCAATCAATCAATCAATTATTCATTCAATTATTCAATCGTTTGATCAATCAATCAGTTATTTATTCAATCATTTAATCACTCGATCAGTCAATCAATCAATCAATAAAATCACAATCGATGATGTGAGTTTTAAAGTTCTTCTTATATATTTTTTTCTTTATCTCATCTTCCTATTCTCTCTAGATATAACTAAGGGTTTGGCAAACTTTTTTGTTGTGCGGGCCCAATTGAGAACTATTTCACCATATGTACTTAAATAGCAAATTTTTTCGACCCTCTTTTGATCACAATGTCTGGCCTCGCGGGCCACATATAATAGCTTCGCGGGCCGTAGTTTGGCCCACCCCTGATATGAATAAATAAATAATTATAAATAAATATGTAGATAATATATATATATATATATATATATATATATATATATATATAAGAAGGAGGATAATGATGATGATAATGATGTTCTCGCTGATGATGGTGATGTTATTAGTTGTGTTAATGGTGATGCTTATGACGATGATGACCGGCTTTGTTATTGTTTATCATTATTATTATTATTGTTGTTGTTATTATTATCGTTATTGTTGTCGTTGTTGTTATTGTTTATTAAGATTATTATTGTTGATGACGATGATGATGGCGATGATGATGATGATGACTGCACGGGCGTCATTCATTTATTTCTTTCTTTTAATCAAAACGAGAGAGTTCTATCCTCTAAAAATCGACGGATTGTTACAATTATAACTCATCATCATCATCACGTCACTCTCCATATTATTATTATTATTGTTATTGTTATTATTTATATTTTTATTATTGCTATTATTATCATCATCATCGTGAACCTTTGCAAAAAAAAGTTAATATAAATTAATAGTTTTTTATTCAGATTAAAATTAAAGTCAATCTCATTACACTTGAAACTAATTGTGTGCGTGCGTGATTGTGTGTGTTTGTGTATTTGTTTGTTTGTGTGTGTGTGTATTTGTTTGTTTGTGTGTGTGTGTATTTGTTTGTGTGTGTTTGTGCGTGCGCGCTTGTGTGATTATATAATTAAGCTCATAATAGCAATCAAACTATATATTACAATACCTACATATGTATGTACCTATATATGTACTGTTGTTTTGTTTGTGTTTAAATTCATGAATTAATAATATCAACAATATATGTGTTATTATCAGTGTTGTTTGTTATATATTATAACAATATATAACGTATATATATATATATATATATATATAATTTATTGATGTCATGAAATTTTCTGCCAATAAAGATGCTATCATTGCTATTAACATTTATTTACTTATTATTATTATTATTTAATTATTCGCTCCTACTTATAATTTTAATACTAATTTTAATGATATTATTATTATTAAATTTTGTCAGTTTTCTCGTTTCAAAGTTAAAATCACTCTTACTACGAATGCAATGTCTCCATATACTATTATTATTAAATGATTCTGAAAGGGATAAAATGTCTCTCCTGTGTACGTAAAACCTGGCTTGGTTTTCTTCATTGCTTAAATTAAGTTATCAATTAAAGACGATACCACTACTACTACTGCTACTACTACTACTGCTGCTGCTGCTGTTGCTTCTTCTTTTACTACTACTACTACTACTACTACTACTACTGCTGCTGCTGCTGCTGTGGCACATATACACGAATACACATACATAAATACACACACATACATAAATACACACACATACATAAATATACACACATACATAAATACGTACACATACACCTAAATACACACACACACAAATGTACACGAATGCACGCACATTTTATATAAATACACACACATATCCAAAAATACAAGCGTTTTACGCACATCTCAGCATGCATAACCAACCCAGGTATGAAGGTATTTAATTATTCAAAGGAAGGTCGCAACTTTGCCAAAAATTTCAGAAGGAACCAATACAAGCGGTATACATATTCTCACACATGTGTGTGTGTGTTTCGTAGCTTGTATGTGTGCGTGTTTCATACGTATGAACGATAGTTATATTTGGTACTCTCACGGAAGGTTACTATTTAAATGTGTGTTGACTTGTTGAAATGCGGTTAAAATGATTGTTGACGATGACATCCGTCAATAAGAAGTTATTGTCTATACCAGATTTACGGCTGATCGATGATCGAAATAAATACAAGTGGATAACAACAGCTACTACTGCTGCTACCACTGCTGCCGTCGCTGCTTCCGATTATAACAATGACGTCACAAAGAAAAATTGGCGTCACGGGCTTAGTAGAAAAGATAGGGGGTTTGTTCGCGACAACGACCCCGCCAGAGTTGACAAAGGCCAGGGTCATCGAGTTTATTTGCCAGCATCACCATCGTTCTATTCAGACGGGGAAGTGACTCTGGAGAGGATTAGGAGGACGAATCAGTATAAAAAGATCAGTCACATCAACAAAACTCACAACAACAACAACAGTAGTAGCAAGAACGACAGCTACCACGTTAACAGACGTAGCAGAAGCAGTCAGCGCAACGACAACGGCAACAACAATCGCATAAAAAACGACAACAGCAGCAAACGTGCTTATGCAACAAAAACGAGCAAGACCGACAGCCACAGAAGTGACCACATCGACTACACAACAAGTAGGAAACAACCTGACATGAAATTTAGCAGATCAGCGCTTCACACTCTACGAACTCTACCGGACTCCACCATCGTGACTATCACTATTGACTACGACGGTTTCCCGGACATTCCATCTAAAAACAAAAACAACAATAATCATAACAACCACAACAGCAACAACAACAAAACTCCGAATTACGGATTCAACATAGTCGGATCATCAGATGTAGGAAGTGAAGGGATTTACGTGTCAAATGTCAAGGCTGGTTCTGAAGGTCACGCACGAGGGCTGAGGTCTGGAGATCGCATCCTAGCTATCAATGGTATCTCGTTTGAGGATGTGACGTCACAGGAAGCTGCTGCTGTGAGTTTTTCCGGTTGCGAACGCCGCGGCGGGTGACTATTTCACAGGGCGCTATATAAATGACACATTATTATTATTATTATTGTTATGAAGATTAAGAAACTGATTATATTCTAGAAATGAGAATGTTGATGATAATTGAATATGACACAATAATGATGAATATTTAACTAGAAAATGGAATGTGGTAATATTCAGCATATCGTTTTTAAAAAGCGTACACAAAAATAAAATTAATTCACGAATTTTTTTCCCAGGTAATCCGATCTAGCAGACGTCTAGAAATGGTGGTAGAAAGGCCCATTAAAAAGGGCAGACGACCTCCTACTGCCGCCCGCCCCCTCTACGTCTGGGTGACCCCAAAGGGGGCGATGACGTCACCACCTCTCAGTGATGATGATGGTGTTGGTGATAATGGTGACGGAAACGTGAAAAGATTGTCGTCTTCGTCGCTGTCATCATCGTCATCGGTTTTGATGAAGAGAAAGTTTAATAAGATCAGAAGAGTGCGTGTTTCTGTCTGTCATTCATTGTGATGAATGAAGGAATGAATTAATAAATGAATAATAATAATAAACAATAATAATAATAATAACCAGGTGCAGATAACAACGGGCAGTCGTAGATTGGGCCTGGTCATAAGAGGCGGTAGAGAATACAAACTTGGTATTTACGTCACAGGGGTCACCTCGGGGTCATTAGGTGAACAGGCCGGGGTCAAGGTTATTTTTTATTTTAAATATTTTCGACATCATCATCGCCATTATCGTTTCATTTCAACTATCATTTCGTTATTATCACCACCACTATCATAATCGTTATAATCACCATCCACGTCAACATCATCATCATTACCATCCTCAACATCATCATCAACACCATCGTCATCACCATCATTACCATTTTCATCAACATCATCATCAACATCATCAACACCATCATCATCATCAACATCATCATCTAGGTAGGTGACCAAATCTTGGACGTAAATGGACATAATTTTCTCGATGTTGATCACGTGATGGCCAAAAAGATTCTCAAATCTTCCAAGGAATTGATCATAACCCTCAAGGACGTTGGCAAGGTCAGACGATGATGATTATGATGATGATGATGATGAGGATGATGATGAGGATGATGATGAGGGTGATGATGAGGGTGATGATGATTACCATGACGATGATGACGACGACGACGATGATGATGATTTTGTTGGTGACGATAAGGACAGTAATGATTCAGTTGATTATATAGTGTAAGTGAAGATTACAGTGAAGTTGATTGCGATTAAGATTATGGTTATGATGAAATTTGGATCATTGTGAATAAAAGACAACAAAAATAATAACAATAAAGAAGGTGAGACGAAAATTTATGATTAAAATGATGTCAATCAAATCAAAGGCAGGTAGATAATGATGACGGTCTTTATGAATATGATTCTAATGGTGTTGAAAATCGTGTAAACAAAGATGATAATTAAAAAAGCGATAGTAGATTATCATCATCTTCATCATCATCAATTTCTTCATCATCTCCATAGTCGTCATCTTCATCATCTTCTTCATCATCATCATCTTCGTCATCACCACCGTCGTATCTTCTTCATTTTCTTCATCCTCATCATCTTCTTCATCTCCACAGTCGTCATCTTCATTATCTTCATCATCATCACCATCTTCATCATCACCATAGTCGTCATCCTCATCATCATTTCATCATTTTCTTCACCATCACCAGTCGTCATCACGGTCCATTGCTCAGTATAAAATATTGATTCGTCAAGCATTCACAACCGTTGTTTTGTTTTGCCAACCAAGGCCGCTTTTAAAAATATATAATATATATATAAATATAATAATAATAATAATAATAATAATATGTAATAAAACTATATCTTTTGTTTAATGAATCAATAAACCTTTTATTTGAAAGCGTTGGCTTTAGTCGAGACGTGAATTTAGTCAAATAACGTCACATGTGATTGTACTGTACGTATATGATTGTAGATGTTTTTCATTATTAATTAGAGGAATATTTGTAATATTTATGTAAGTATAGTAATATTTTTTATGTATTTTTACGTTATGTTAATATCATTGTCGTCATCACATGTATATCAGGACTGTTGTATCAGAATCACCCACTTTATCATTTCTGACTTTGCCACCATTATCATTTCCGTCATCATTTTCATCTTTTTCCTCATTGTTATCATCATCGTTATCTTATCATCACCATCTTCATCCTCATCACCATCACCATCTTCATCATCCTCATCACCATCTTCATCAGATTCCTTACGGTATAGCTACAGAAAATTACAACAACAGCAACGACAACATGAACAACAAAAGAGGCAGTGATACGATGGATGGAGCTGTTGGGGAAATGGAGTTAGACGTACCGAGCAGACGCAACTGGGACAGTCTTTCAGAAAAGGTTGGCGCCAAATTAGTCCTATTCATGATTTTCATGAATAATAATTTTAGGGAGTATGAATTTTTTTTAAATTAAAAAAAATGCAAAATAAAACCACGAAATCTCCTGAAATCTAAACAAAATCTAATAAAATAATTCATGTAGTCATCATTTAAACGCGGCTGGGGTTCCCAACTGGTTCTAAACACTACCTGTACACCCCCCATGTATAAATGGACCGATCCAAGTAGCTTGTTAAAGAGGGCAAGTCGATTGTTGAACGAAGGGGGTTACAAGATGTTTATCAACTATTTGAAGTCGTATCTATACAGCGCTATTTCTATTTACGATCTATTCAATGGGGCCATCATTTTGTTGAACAGCAGGAAAAAGGTCAGTTAGTTAGTTAGTAAATGGTTGATTGAATGATTGAGTGAATGAATGAAATTTCAATAATCAATCAACCACCCAACTAATTGAATCAATCAACTAAACAACCAACTAAACAACCAACCAATCAACAGTTATCACTGCTGGAAGATCTTCGTCACCTCATCAGACACAATGACCTTCACATCTACAACAAGCTGGTTGTTCAGAGTGGAGTAGGATATTTATTTATTTGTTCTTTCATTCATTCATTTATTCATTCGTTCATTCATTCATTCATTCATTCATTCATTCATTCACTCATTCATTCATTCGTTCGTTCGTTAGTTCATTCATTCATTCATTCACTTTCTTATTTAATTCATTTAACCATTCAACTATTCATTCACTCGTTCGTTCATCTGTCTAACAAACTTTCAGATATATCACGTCGAACCTTTTCGCGATTCAAGAGTGTCGGTGTCGTCATCAATCAAGTCTATGACGTCACAGAACAAAGTTTGTATCATTATTTGAAAAGTTTTGATTTGTATAGCACCCTAAAACTTAGCGTAAGAGGCACATGCGTTCAACTTTCAACAAACAAACGAACGAACAAACAAACAAGCAAGCAAGCAAACAAGCAAACAAACAAACACAACTATCACCTTACAATAAGCACCTTACAATAGCATCTTACAGTTTGTTGTTGTTGTTTTGTAATCGTTGCGGTCACATGTACATGTTGCATCACGTCAGCTTCAGCGCACCAGGGACGATGGCCGTTGGACGCTACTTGAGTCAGCTCTCAACGTCGTATTCGATGGTGACGATAACAATGTGAAAAATTTGAAAGTGAACTCAGTTAACAACAGCGGAAGTGAATACAGGAAGAAGAAAAAATTTAATCATGTCATCCATGATGACGATGATGATGATGATGATGACATGATAGATGATGATGATGACAGGATAGATGATGCTGATGACGTTCTTAAAAATCAGAAACGAAAGTTGAGAATTTCCACTGATTTGCCAAAAAATAAAAAACTTGAAGAATATAATTTACTGCAGCTGCTAAAAGAACAATACAATCAACACCGGCATCAGCAACAACATCAACGACGCAATCTGCATCAACGACAACAACAGGCGGAACTTGTTCGAGTCAATTCACAACCTCAACTACTGCAGCAACAACAACAGCCACAACAGTCGTTTCAGCAGCAACTGCAGCAACCCACACAACAACCATATTCGCAACAACTAAATTCCCAACAGCATACAGAACAACAACAACAACAAAATTTAGCAGAGCCGCAGCAACAAACCCAACAAAACCGGCACAACCTCGCAGTCAACATCGTCGAAACTGATGCATTCAACAGTCTACGAGCCATTCAAAAAAGTAAACGAGCGACAGTCATGAACATGACAGCAGCAAACAATCCAATCAGATCCACCACAACGGCTGCAGCAACTTTCGTAAATGCAAGAAACATGCAAACTGCAGAGCGTGCGGCGACCTCATCGTCGATCGACGCCACAAATCCGTCAACGACCATCTCTCTACCACCATCAACAACAACCACATCGGCGCGTACCGACAACACCAAACAACACATAAACAACACTCCAAACAACATCAAAAACGAAAACACCGTCGCCGCCAGCAACCATGAAGACGGGGAAATAGCTTATAACGTTGACGATGACGTCATTGTTGACGACAACAAAAATGACTTCGTGACACATCAGGACGGGAAGGGGGCACGTGATGATGACGCTGACATGTCCTGGCTCCGTCGAAGGGGTAACTGGGTTATGCTCAGTCCCGAAGTTTTTATGGAGATGAGACGCGGAGGTGGAAAATCACATGGCGTAGAAGGAAAATCTACGACAGTGAAGAAACGAGCTAAGGAAGTTAAAGTTGAGTTTTTGTTTATTTTACCAATTAATTTCTAATTCGTTTAAGTCTTAGTTTAGCATTTGTTTCAAATTTGTCATCGTATAGTTTCGCTTCGTCGCTAAATTTATCGGAACGTTTACCACTGGCTAAATTTATCGGAAGGGTTGAAGGACGCAATGAATTGTCATTTTAATCTGCTGGACCTTTAAATTAAAATAATCTTTCAAAAAAAATGTTCTCACCATCTCTCAGATTTCGTCATCGTCATTTTCGTCGCCCATAACCGGCCACAACAGCAAATCACAAAAACAAAGAAATGAAATTTCCAACAAAAATTTACTCACTTTGATGATATCGAAGACAAAACTGATCCTAGGAATTGCTATTGTTGGAGGTGCTGACACTGATTATATCATGCCACGTGTTGCTGAAATACAGGTAGGTTGATTGATTTGATTGGCTGATTGATTAGTTGTTTGATTGATATGATTGGCTGGTTTGTTGGCTAGCCGGATGGTCGACTATTTAGATGGCCAACAATTAGTTGATTAATTTTTCAATTGCTTGAGTTCAGGGCTTGTTGAATTAGTGTCTGATTATTATTTTAGTTGATCAATTAAGACTGTTTAATTCATTTATTCTTTGCTTGTTTTGAATGAACTTTTTGACTGAATGATTGAATATCTCTTAATAATAACAAAGGTATGTTAACAAAATTGGTAGACACACTCCCACACAACTACAAACATATACAAACACATTATTTTATAACTGATGAATTTTTTAGTTTAGACTCTAAAATCTTTAATCGGACATTTTTCTAAAATTTGTGCTTCTGCATTTTAGGAAAACGGAGCTGCTTTCACTTCCGGCCTACGAGAAGGTGACGTCATATTAGAAGTAGATGGCACGTCATTATTAGGAATGTACCATGAAGAGTGTGCTCGACTGATTGTCGAAAAATTTAGAGATAAATCTAGAGCATTGCTCGAAATGAATGTTGCTAGAAACATAGAAATGGATGAGGACTATGAGGAATGTTTGATGAGGGAACGTGATCAAGCTAGGAGGAGTAATAAAACTGTTGATGTCAATAGCTATTTTGAAAAACTGTCACTGTGATACTCTTGAATGAAAATTTCAAAATAAATACGGCAGCTTTTTAAATTTATATCTGTTATTTTTATGTAAAAATGTAGTTTTGAACAATTTGGTTTAATATTATGTTTAATATTAATGATAATTAGCTTAATAAAATAGAATTTTATTGATTTTTGATATGACAAATTGCAGATTTTAGCTACAATTAGACTGCAATTATTGTACTTTCATTATTTATCAATTCATCGTGCAAATGTTAAAACTTGTCGTTATATTACATCTGAAACTATTCTCTTTGTTGGAATTATTTTTGATGAAAACTGGTTTGCCAATGTCACCCATACAGATAAATAAAAAATAATTTTTATATGTCATCAAAATATTTCTATTATTTAAGAAATTTGGGTAATGTTAACAGTAACACAATTGTAATTCTAATATGTACATGTCAATTATACGTTACAGCCCTATAAGTTTCTTTTTAAATTTAAAAGTAAATCTTAGTTGTAAAGCTTAAAGTTCTTGTTTAAAACTGTTTATATTTCGTTTTGTCCGGGAAAGAAATTATTTAAAATGTTTAAACGGGGAAATGACGATGACGATTTTGCAACTTTTCAAAACACGTATGCTAATTTTTTTTAGTAAATTATGAAATTAGTTTCATAAATTTTTTCAATAAGTTGGAAACTTTAGTTTTTTTTAGAATCTTAGATATGGTGGGCGTCTTTGGTATTTTTAGTAGTTTTATTTATATTTTATAACTTTTGAACGAAATTTTTATTTTTTTGTTTTATCTACCTGTAAATTATTTGCGTTATTTGTAACTTAATTTTTTTTATTTGCTAACTAAAATAAATATTAAAATGTTGATTAGTTGAATGAAAGAAATCAATCACAAGTCAATGAATCTTCATCAATGTGAAGTGAATGAATTGAAAAATGGGAAATCAAATGACTTGAACTTGAAAAGATGAAAATATCTAACTAAAACTTTAAGTAAAAGACATGGTCTTTTACTTAGTAGTAAGGAACCTAATAAGCTCTGTATAAGTAGAAACAATTCAACATACAATACAGTGAAATTATTTCACTGAAATGCAATGCAAGTCATATTAAAACAGAAATATACATACTCAACACACATTCCACGCACAGATCTTCCAAATTAGCTTCCTTATTTGAGGCAGATGACACTAACATAGATCAAACATCAACTAAAGACCTACTTACGTACACTGCCCCAAAAAATTCAAACAAACCGTCTGGTAAGAAAAACATTTTATTACAATTTTTGTCTATTTTTGTATGTTTTACTTAAGTTTTTTAAATTTGTGTATACTTTTTGTATACTTTTATATAATTTTGTAAATTCTTTGTATATTTCTTATATATTATTGTACATTTTTGCATATTTTTATATGTTTTGATATATTTTTCATCAAAATATCTAACTTTTTTATTATTTTAAATTAAATTCATATAATGAATGAAGCTTAAACAATTTTATTAATTAGTTAACTAATTAATTAGTTAATATTTTTCCAATTAGATACCTCAAAGGATAAAGTGCTCTCATCAACACAGTTATCATCATCAGCATCATCTTCTTCATCATCATCATCATCATCATCTGTTCTTGGTACTTTTATCTGCCATTGCTATAAGCTGTTGGTTCATGTTTGTTTATTTATTTTCATTATCTATTTTTATTAAAAAAAATAGAAGGAAATTTTTTTATATAATTCAAATTCATTTTTAAACAGAGTAAATGGTGCTTACACGAACCCAGCAAAGCTTGGCGTTGCTGTGATTGGTGAAAAAAACAATGTCATTAATTTTTTTTTCACAAATTCATCCATTTATGTTATAAAATTACTTACTTTTATAAAATAATGGCTATTGTGTTCATTATATTATACTTTAATAATAGAATCATTATCATTATTACTAACATCTTTACTATTTTATCATAAAATACTACTACTGCTGCTGTTGCTGCTGCTGCTACTACTACTACTACTACTACTACTACTACTACTATTACTATTACTACTACTTCTGCTGCTGTTGTTGCTGCTGCTAAACTACTAATAACAATATGAGATAATCAATGTATTCATTATCTCAATAAGTATTTATTTAGTTATTCTTTTATTTGTTTAAATAATTAATTATTTTATTTTTTGAAATTTGTTTCAAGTTCACCATCCTTCTCTATCTGACTAAAGAGAAACCAGTGGCTATAATAAAGATAACAGCATCATTCCAAATTTGTGTCAGTTGTCCATTTTTATTTTGACATAAATTCCGAAAAATAATTAATCTTGACCTTTTATTTATTTATAAATTATAGTTAGGGTATATTTAATATATAAATTATAGTTTGGGTATATTTAAAATTATATTTTTCTATGATTTCTCATGTTTTTTTGTTGTATATGTTTTTATGTCGTTGTTTAAATAAAAATTTGATAACATAATATTAGCGTTCATAATTCTAGACAATTTTTTTATCGAATTAAAAATATGGACAAAAATGAAACATCATCATCATTGTTATATCATCAAATCGTTATCATCTTAACGACCACGCTATCATCATCTGTATCACGCTTGTAATTATATCAGTATCTTATTCACCATCCTACAATGGCGATACCCGTACTCCTCATTATCTCTCTCATTGCATGCTTCTATGTTGCAGGTGCAGGCAAATAATTATGTCTCCTTCTTTGACCAGCAAAATAATTCCTGGTCCATTCTTTTCGATAGATTGGAAGATGTCAATAACTTTGTCAGACAGGTGATGAAGATTGTGATAATGATGATAACAACAACAACAACAACAATAATAATAATAATGATTACGATGTTAAAATTAATAATGAGCAGGTCTGTTTAGCCAAACTTCTGTGTGCAATTGACGTCTCCACCAGAGTCATAGCTCAAGACATTGTTCAAGGTGAAGGCCATTCAATAAAAGAAGGTGATCTTGTGAAGTTCATTGTTAAAAAATATCGCGTGACCTTGAACCCCGGAGTCAAGGTCGGTGAGTTAGTGGAAAAAGTTGAAAAGAAAAAGAATGTGAAACTGAAAGTGAAAACAGGTGGAGAGGTGATCAGATTGGAAGGCAAAAAAGATGCTGATGAGGAGTATGATGAGGTCAGAATTCGCATTTTCATTTGTTACACATTCACTGTACACATTGATGTTTGTTTCTATGTTGCTATATCTATCTGTCTATCTTTCTGTTGTATGCTTTATGTCTGTTTGAATATCTGTCTGTATGTCTGTCTGTCTGTTTGTCTGTTTCAATAATATTTTTTTATTACATCACAGTATTGCTCTTGTAGTTGTGATTTAAAAAATGTTTGTCTGCATAGTGCTCTAATTTGGAGCGAGCGTTGGAGTTCGAGGTTGAAGGAGTGGTAGGAAGGGGTCGTCCGCGATTGGGATGGAGAGAGCAGGTGGAGAAGGACAGAGTGAAAGCGGGGTTGCGTGATACTGAGGCGAGTGACAGATGTGGATGGCGTCGAGGGGTATTTCGGTTTCATCATAGGTAGCCAAACGGCAACCCCCGATCTCGGGGAAAATGTCGTCTAAACGTGTGTATAGTGCTCTAATTTGAATGTTGTTTTACAAACCATCTAACACAAATCTTTACGAAATAACTCGTCATAGACTTATAAACAAGAGACGGAAAGTTAACTCATCAACCACACTAAAACTAATTTTCACAGTCGTTAATGTCGTACTGCGTTGGGATGAATGTGGGCGGAGCTAAGCTGATTGCATCACGTGATCCAAATAACGCCATCAGTCTTTTTGAATTGTCCATATTAAAAGTTTGTTGACGTTATTGATGCTGTTGTTTACTATTGGGGGTAGATATGTGTGCCGCTATATTCTTAAAGATTTGTTGTTTAAATTTTTATTTTCAACAATAGTAGTTATTAATAATATTTATTTATTAATATTTTTATAATTATTCCAGTATTAATAAACAATACTTGTAATCAAGGTGAAATATCCAAGCCACGGAAAGGCAACCGACAGTGAGAGCACATGTTCTGAATTCAGTAATATTGAAGATGTCGAAACTGATACAGCAGCAGCCACAGCAGCCACAGCAGCAGCAACAGCGACAACAGATCATTCGTTGCATACTGTAGCAGACGGCAACAACACTGAGACCAAACTTGATAGAAACATTATCAACAGCAATGTTAGTGTTGAGGGTGAAAAAGTTAAGCTGCTCAACAGGATGGCGAAATTGGGCCATGCTATGCTACCGATTGTCTCGCAACATCCATCATTTGACCAACCACACCATAAGCCGTCGCCACCACTACTACCACCACAACAGCCACAACAACAAAAACCTCATATGGATTTGCAACAAAATCAAGTTTTACCTGCAAATGATGCTACAGAAGTTACAGCAACCATAACGACTACATCCAATTTGCCGATGACAACTACTCCATTGCCAGCAGCAAACAAGTCGACAACAACAGCATCAACGAACATTCCAACTACAACTTTGGCAACCGCATCAGCAGCAGCTGTTAGCAGACCAGATGTACCATGCAAACCCATCAGTCCACTTGTCAATCAGTATCATCGAATGGTATGTATCTATTATCATAATTATATTATTATTTTTTTTAAAGTTATTGTCATTATTATTAATATTATTATAATTATGTTTTTTACTCAAAAGGACGCCCAGCAGTTCACAGGTCAGCATCATCATCATCACCAGCAGTCATCCGGTTTTGGTGGGTGTAACTACTATAACCATTAGAAATTATTTCAGAATTATTTTCATAATGAAAATAATAATTATTATAATTGATATTATTATTATTATTATTGTTGTTATTATTATTACTATGAACAGATCCGAATATGATGGTGGTGCTGATGACGATGTTGGTTGACATCAAACAGCTGAACAATGAAATCAAGACGTACTCCGTGAAGAGCGTTGATAAAGTTGAACTACTGTCCGATCAGGTCTATATTATCACAGACACACACACACACACACGCACAACACAGACACACACACACACGCACACACACAGACACACACACACACAAACACACACAGGTAAAGCAGCTGACAGAACATTATCAAAGGCAAGCGACATCATCGTCATCATTTCTATCATCATCGTCGTCGTCGTCACCTTTGAACTGCTCTGAAGTCGTGGCCATGCAGCAGAGTATAGCCAAGATCTTCAATGTAAGAATTTACTACCGCTGCTATTGCTACTACTGCTACTGCTGCTATTGTTGCTGCTACTACTACTGCTGCTTCTACTAGTACAACTTCTACTATTACTACTACTGCTGCTGCTACTACTACTACTACTACTACTACTACTACTACTACTACTACTACTACTACTACTACTACTACTACTACTGCTACTACTACTACTACTACTTATAATAATATTGTCATTATTTTCTTATATTTATTTAAATGCCGGAAGGAAAATGAAAGATTGAAGGAAGAAATTGAAGAAAAGAAGGAAAAACTATTTACGTTGAGTGAGAAATTTAACAAAGTCCTTGACCTCAATCAAAAGTATGATGCATGTTGATGATGATAATGATGATGGTGATGACGATAATGATGATGACAATAATTATGATGATGATAATGATGTTGGTAATGAGATGGTAATGATGATAATGATGATTATGGTGATGAATTCGATTTACAGGCTGATGGAGAATAATTTAGATAGCAACGAATTGAATGTAAAGTTGAGACAACTGATTGACGAGAAGGTATACTGGATTGGTGTATGTATGTATGTCGGCTATTTCGTGTATGTATGTGTATATATGTGCGATTGTATGCATGTGTGTCTGTCTACATGTGTTTCTGTAAGTGGGTATGCTGTTTCGTACTAGATTATGATTATATGTTTGTCTTAAGAAATTGGTCATCTATATATCTATATCATTCTATCATCATCATTGAAGTTGTGGCGTGTTTCATCATCGTCATCACTGTCCACATAATGTTTTGCACTTAAATTCATTGCAGGAGGCGTTGACAATCAAACTCGAGACATCAGATGAAAAATTGTTGGAACACCAATCAGAATTTGAGCGGGAAATAGAAGCACGTGATACGCAGATCTGTGAACTCAAAAAAAAAGTCGATGAACTTGAAAGTTCGAAGGTCAAATGCCAAGGTTGGTGGTTTATTGTATGTGTTTTTGTTTCAATTTATATCTTAAAAACTCCATGAATAGATGTTAGTATGTATAAGTTCCAATGAATTAATTGATCGTTTGTTTGCTTATTTGTTTGATTGTACGACTGATTGATTGACAGTTGAGTTTGAATGCCAACTGCTCGCGGTAAGACAATCAAATCAGTTGGAGATCAATCGACTAGCCAACGAGCTTGCGTTTAGAGAAGAAGTAGGTTTAGTTGAACTTTTTGAAAGAACATACGAATGAGTAAATTGAATGGATGAGTGAATTAATTAATTAACAAGCGAATGAATGAATAAATGAATGAAAAAATGAATAAATGCGAAAATAAACGATTGTGTGAATGAACAAAAGAACGAAGAGCTGTATGTATGAAGAATGAACGAATGGATGGAATGAATAAATTAATGCGTAAACAAATTAATTAAAAAACAATCAATTAATTAAATATTAATTAACTTTATTACATCCTCATTATTTTATTTCAAAGAAATTTGAACATGAACGCCTGCAGATGAAAGTAGAATATGACGTTAGAAGTTTTTTCTTTCATACAATTTTAAGCGCCTAACAAACAAACAAACGAACGAACGAATGAACGAACGAATGAATAAATTAAAGAATGAGTGAATGAGCAAACGAAGAATTAGATGAGTGAATAAAATCGTACACACAGTCCTTAATATCGAGTCTGAGAGAGACAATAATGAAACAGAAGATGGTCTCTTATAGCAACAAACGTGATCATCACGACGATGATGCTGGCAACGACGATGATGTCATTGAGGAGGGTGGCAATAGTGATTACGTGAAGTTGAAAAATGATTATGACGTCACCGTGAAACAGCTGGAGAATACTCAAAGAAAGGTTGAAGAGGATGTGTGTGATGTTGCGTCATCGCCATCACTCAATTCCATATTTGATTTATCGGAAAATGCCAGCGCTATATAATTAATTAATTCATTCTTTTATTAAATAATTCATTCATTCATCCATTCATTCACCCGTTAATTCCTCAAAATCATCATCGTCGTCATCACTTCATCATCGTCATCCCTTATATTTTTAAGTATGACCAGTTGAAACTGAAGAGCAAAGAGATGGCCTCCACTTACGATGACGTCATCTCTCAGATGGAAGATGACAACAGTTTGAAGGTGATGATGACGAGAATGATGATGATGTTAACAAAAACAAATCATAATCATCATTATTATTTTTAAAATTTAAAAATAATTTTCACAGACGAAAAAAATTATGAGCCAGGTTTACAAACGTTTGAAATGCCAGATAGTGCCTGACCTCAATTATTCAGGCAACCACATTCTATCGTTAGCCCTTGACGTCATCAAGGTAATAATAATAATAATATAATGGTGATGATTATGCTGATGAAAGTGTTAGCGATCATGATGAAGATATCATGGATAGTGATCATGATGACAACAGTGACGATAAAGATGTAATTATTTTATAGCCAGGATTTAAGCAATGATGACGATGGTACAGATGATGACGATGGTACAGATGATGACGATGGTACAGATGATGACGATGGTACAGATGATGACAATAATAATGATGATGGTGACTGTTGATTAAATAAAATCCTTTTCATATCATTTTTACTTTTAAAATATTTTTTCTCTTCAGAACACCACTTTAGAACTAATCGATGAGAAAAAGGTTGATGGCAGGTCGGTGCAAACACAACTGCAACAACACCAGCAACAACAGCAGCAGCAACAAAACACCTTACAACAAAACCTTCAAAAATTTTCTGAGCAAAACAGTCGACAACAACAATATCAGCAACAACAATTACAAGAAGAACAAATAAACAACGACAACAATGACATCAACATTACGGAAGGATACGCCAGCAAAAGCGATAGGCCACAGGGCAACATCAACTCATCTGCTGATGACTTTAAAGATAATAATGTGAACAGTGACAGCGACGACATTAATAAATGCAATTTTATTATCGTTGACAGTAAAAGCAATAACAGCAACAAAGATGACAATAATAACAACAATAATTGTAGTAATAATGATAATAACGACAACAATCATAACAACACAAACATTAATAACGATGATGACAATAATGATGATAGCAATAACAGTAGCAATAACAACGCGAATGATGACACTAACATTCCAGCGAAGGAAAGTGAAACCATCAACATCAACAAGAACATCAACACAAACGACAACATCAACAAAAAAGACAACATAAACACAAACATCATCAACAACAAAGTACTAACAACTTTCAACTACAACGACGGACCCCCGCCTTTTGGAGATGACGACGAGGAAAAGGAAGATGATTAGAATGAAAAAAGATCAAAATACTAAAAATCCCAGCTCTATCCTGATCCAATCTAACCTAATCTAACCTTATCACCAAAGCACATTTGATTCAATGGCCTCACTGAATGATTTTCACAATACTTTATCACCAAGTTGGAACATAGATCTTACTTATAATCTACAATGACGACAATTTATCTAACTATTCATTCATTTATTTACTTTATTTCATTTTTGTTTCATTGATATCTAGATACATATATATATATATATATATATATTTTACTAGATTCGGAGACTATTAATAATTAAGAAAATTGCGATGAATGAATTGAATGAGTGAATTAATAACTGTCTTTTTTTGTCGAATACAAAAGAAAAATAAAAAAAACTAAATCAGTCATTGAGAAATCCGATCTAACAAATGATTGAAACAATGCAATACAAAACAATACAATACAATGATAAAACAGAATTAACAGTTGAAACGATTTGGTATAAATCATGCACACGCATACAAACGCACACACACATACATATATATATATATATATATAGAGGAAGAGAGTATCAAATATAAATGTACAGTTAGATAAATAATTGAGGTGTGTGGATGAATGAATGGGCAAAGGTAAAAATAAAATATAGAGTAGGAGAGAGAAAGAGAGAGAGAGGGAGAGAGAGAAAGAAAGACAAACAAAGATGAAGAATAAAAATTCTCAACAAATCAAAGAGTAACATCAACAAATATAAAGATAAAACTAAAGATATACAGATAACCGAAACCAGATGCGGCGATTACCGTAGTATCACGTTTGATACCTAGATACAGTAATTAATTAAGATAGTATCACATATGATACTTGGGATACAGTCAACAAATGTAATAATTAAATCCAATAAGCATGGTCCTGTTATAAAAAAGTATATATGTACATATATATATATATATATAATTATTGTGTATATTAATATATATACATGTATATATATATATATATTATATATATATATATATACATATTCAATTCAATTAATTCAAAAAAAATATATATATATATATATATATAAATATAAATGAAACAGTTAAGAAAATAGATAGATTAATACTCAATATAAAGATAAAATAATATAAATAAATCATTTATGATCAGAAAGAACTCTAACATACATCATCGAAAATTATAACCAAAACAAAAGCAATAACAATAATAATGATAATAATAATAATAATGATATTAGTGGTGATAATAATAATGACGATGATAATAGAAATGATATGACCACAAATAGCAAACATCTGACGATAATAATAACGATGATATGATATACGATGAAAAACCCATTGACGAGAACATTGAATGATAGATAATAAGCAATAAAGTGATGATAACCAATTATTATTAACAATGTCAGCTATAATAATATAAATAATAATAATAACAATGTCATTTTTGATCAACAATAACAATAATAATAAGTAAATAAAAAAAATAATATAAATTACTCACTCTTAATTTTATACGCGTTTTATTAACACTATCATTCACATATGATGACGGTAGAAGAGACAATAATAATAAAACTATAATAATAATGATGATAACTATAATAATAATTGTTATTATTATTATAATTGTAACAGGAACGTGACTTAATGAGACCGAAATCATTTGTACATACTATGAATATGATTATACAATGATAGTAGCAAAAAGGTAATAATGATAAGGTAATAATAATGATATATATATATATATATATATACATGAAGTAATAAACTGTATTTACAAAAACCATGCAACAAATAAATTTTATTGATTTGACCATCATCAAATATTTGATTAAATATTAATAGATTTCAATTTTCTTCTTTTTTTCCGTAACCAGTTGGTCATTAAGTCATTGAACGTTCAAATCTCTTCTTGTCTACATTATTTACTAGATAAAAATAATAATTATTAATTAATTAAAAGTTTTTTTTTCATATTTATGTCATTAAATAAATATATATATATATGCATACACACACACATATATATATATATATATAACTGTATATGTAACTGTACCCTGTTAAAAACACTAAACAATCAAAGCTCAACTGTAACCATCTGCCCCACCATCTCCATCATCAGCATAACCATCCCCACCATAGCCAGCACCGACGTCACTGCTGCCTAAATTAGATTTATTTCTATTTTTAGCCCCACTGACTCCTCCCCCGTTGCTGATGTTGTGAAATTTAACTCGATGGCTGTAGGAGGCCTGCCTGGTGAGGAATGATTGAGAGCAGAAGTGGCATTTATAGAGTTTTTTTAACGAGTGTTTTGAGTTTACGTGGCACTTGAGGCCGTCCATACTCTTAAAGCGACAGCCACAAACACTGCACGAGTACGTCGACTCCACCTGATGTGATTGATTAGTTGGTTGGTAGGTTGATTGACTGATTGATTGGTTGGCTCTGAATGATTCATTGATTAAACGACTGATTGGCTGGTTGGTTGGTTTGAGGAATGAATAATATGTTAGGTTGTTAATTCAATGATGATAGAAGATGGATTGACTTGAATGGAATGGATGCATGAATTGTGCTTGGAATGTGGAGGAAGATGAGGATGAAGAAATACATTCAGAAGAAATCAAAATATGGAAAAGACAAATTAGACTGACAGTAAACTAAATTAGGAAAATATTAATAGGTAACATCAGACAAACAATTCTATAGCAATAATAATTCATAATAATTCTATTATGATCAAGTCCTATTATAGAACTTGATAGCAATATACATAACAAACTGATTCTAACAGCTCAGTAACAATTTATGTGTTGCTATTTTAAATATCAAAATTTATACACCAGATGCCCTTCTTTAACCTGAAAGTAATTGTCGTCCAAACCAGCTTGACCATTAACCATACCGGGACCTGGCACTAAACTGTTGGCATTTCTTCTTCTCTTCTTTACATTGTAACTGATGTTGCTGTTGTCATTGTTGTTGTTGTAAGGTTGGTAGGCATACATATACTCTGAGTTGTTGCCATCATTCTGGCTTTCTGAAAAGCTAGCTGATTGACTGAATGATGATTCTTGCTGTTGTTGACGGAATAAGCTGTAGCTTTTATAGTTGTTCGTTGGTTCGGTTTTTATTTTTTTCGAAGGGTTGATTCTAGTGGGCCGTGCTTGAGGTAGACGTTTGACATTTTTCATTTGAAATGAGCGGCTAAATCTCCCAGAGTAGTTATTGCTGACATTGTTAGTTGCAGACGAATACTCCTGCGTCTCCGCTTCCATGAAACTGTCGATGTAATTTGCTGAAACATTGTCGTTGTCATCGTTGTAATCACCAGAAACGTCGTTGTTATCATCCTCGTCTCTGACATCATCCTCTTCATCGTTTATGTCAATAATATCATCATTACTGTTATTGATGTTGTTAGTGTATTTTACATCTGGATTTTCATAGTTATTAGAGTTATTATAACTGTCATCCATGTTACTTTCTTGTTTGATTTTGTTACTTTCTGTGTAAAAAGATGAACTTAGATTTTTATGTTTGTCAGCTGGATTGTCTTCATTATTTACTACTTCCTTTTTGATAGTTTGACTCTGATGTGCATTGGAACTTTTCTATGATTTGGAAAAAAATCAATCAATACAATAATCCATTTAATTTTTATTTAATCAGTTAAAAGTTTTAACTTAAAACCATACAATTTACAGATTATATTTAATTAATTAAAAACTAAACTAGATTTTTAAATTAAAGTAGTATGACTAGCATTGTAGTAGTGAATTATATGGGAAGTGAATTTTTAAGCCTGGTCAGGCCAATACTAATCTGAAACACATCAATTTTTAATTAGGAACAAAAAATTCCATATTATATTATTATATTAATATTTCATTAGTTTTTTTTTAATAAAAATGGAATGAACCTTGCTGTTGCCATCGCCTTCGTTTCTGTAGCAGCGTTCGTTGAGGACGAAGGCAACCACATCGCAGTCGTCGCAGCGAACGTGGATGCTTCCAAACACATCCAACCGTTCGCTGTATTCGACATTAACTTGGCAGAACGATAATACGAACTTTTTCACTAATTCAGTCAAACTGCTGGCCAATTTATCGGGGTCCATGGTTTGGTTTTTGACTTAGCTAGTTAGATCTGTATTCGAATACCACCAAACGGCATTTCAAAAGAAATTTTTGACACTAAATTAGCTAAATTTAAAAATAAATAACTTTATCGAGCAAAAACTAAAAAAACGATCTTCAATTTTCCATTTAAAAAGCATTCATAGATAAAAAAGTGATGAGAAATGTTTATACATAGACATTTAAATACTTCTCTGTTATTAGAACCGATGCTCCGTTAGATGATTTTTTAGATAGAGGTGCCAGTATTGAATGTATGGTCAGAGGTTTTCCATTCGTGTCCATTTATAACTTCCTCTACTCAAGTTAGTAATCATCTTCATAATAGCTCAAATTCGTGAAGTAGTGCTTAGAATTTTGAAGATATTTCGTGTTTGTTCCTTTCCAAGCTCAAACGTTCAGGTAATTTGTCGGTTCAGTCTGATTCTTTATTTTGGGAAAACGATCGGTTCAGTCTGATTCTTTATTTTAGAAAAACGATGGTGTCTCCTGAAGATTATTTTGTGATTTCGTAGTTCTAAACGCAGTTAGCGTGGTTGTTTTGTTTTGGTAGGTACTAGATTAAATGTCGTTCTATCAAACTCTTGCGTCATTTGCAAACAACTGATGGACGCACACACACACACATACACACACACACACACACATACACACACACACAAATATATGACCCGTTAAATGTCTGTCAATGTCTCTCCCTTTCTCTGTCTGTCTGTCAGTCTGCTTGTCTCTCAAACTAACATCATGCATGTCAATTTTACTATTTTGGTATTTAGAAAATCAGAAAATGTCATAGAGAGAGAATTTTACTGAATTTCATTCAAGTATTTCCTTTCTGAACAAGATCATCATTGAAATAATTTCACAATAAAATGTTAAAAATTTGCAAACATTTGTATAACAAATTCAAATGTCCATTATATTAACAATTGTTCGTGTAAATGGTTGATAGAAAAGAGCCTACACTCTCTAGCTAGACGATTCTAACAAAAAAGATATTAACAAAGCAAGTTTTTATCCATCGAAAACCGGTTATCTAAGAAAAAAGTCGAAAAGGCAATATTTCACTATATGTTAGTAGGTTTACATGTTATTTAGTTACACACACGCGCGCGCGCGCACACGCACACACAAACACACACACAAACACACACATACAAAAACACACACACACACACACACACACACACACACGGAAACAACATATCCAGGCAAAAAATGAATGTACAGATAAACTTTCTTGTTAATGGGGCATTAACGTGATTGTCAATAATTAATTATTATATGTATTTATACATATTTATAAAATTAAAAAGGGAGAATTAAACGAGCCCGCCGAAATATAAATTTAAGAGAAAAAAAATACAACCATTAAGTTTTAATTAAAAATAACTTGAAAGCTTTTGTTCTGATTACAAACAGTTTTTACGATAACAATCCAAATGTCCTTAAAGTTTTATTATTCTTAAAATATGACCTTAATATTTAAAAAACATTAAAATCAAATTTTATTTTTTTTACGTTTTTTTAATAAAATAACCAAAATACACACACATGCACATACACATGCACACAATTTTGAATTTTTAAAGTATTTTTTTGAACGTATTTTTTAAATATATGTATATTTATACAAGTTTTTCCCCAGAAGTATTTACCGCCAAACGTAGTAAATTGTCACAAATAGCTGTAAAATAAATGCATTAGTAACGATAATAATTTGGGAGTATAATATTTTACCAATATTTTCAATTCAGATAAGTAATAAAATTCAATTGAAAGTGATTGGTTCTGGAGACTTCACAACAGCGCTGTCTCTAGGCGGTCCCTGCTGGCGAATTGAGAAAGATCTTGTAATAATTGGTTGCTGTTGCGGTTGCTGTTGCGGTTGCTGTTGCGGTTGCTGTTGTTGTTCTTGATCTGAAGTGACATTTTGTAAGTTGTAGTTTTGTATTATAATTTGCATATTTTTAAAAAGTTTCCATCAATGATTCTGCCGTCAATGGCTAGTTGTTTCACAATTAGAAGAATGAAATAATTTTTTAGCTATCATTCTTCTATAAAAATCTATGAATTTATAAGTCAATAACGTTTCTTTTGTTAAAATATAGAAAGTTAAGAATTAGTTTTGTATGATAATAATTATTTACTGATAGATGATAATCTTGTCGGCGGGAAGGGTTTTGAATCGTCGAACGAGAACGGAGACCTGTTCTGATTTTCAACTGTTTGAAAATGAAGGTCAAAATTGATTTCAATTAACTAAAAATTTAAATGAAAATGAAACAAATATTAACAGAGAAACCGAAACTAACTTGATTTCCCAGCCGCCAGTCCATCGGCATATTTGTGGAGAATTCTAATCGGGATGATTCTATTTTCAGTTTCGATTTTAACAGGTGCTGATGTCGACGAAATTTGTTGCGGGGGCTGTTGTTTGATGGCGTCAGGTGGCACGGCACTCTGACGTACCTGGTTGTAGGAAGGGGAAGGTTGGGGGGTGTACTTTGGTCTCTCAGGTGCACTAACGCCGGCTGATTTCAAAATGTTGATGCTGTTCTGTTGTTTCTGTCTGAGTATGGAATTTTGAGGGGAATAAATTAAAGGAGGAGGTCTTTGTGGAGCTGATTGTGTAGTCTGCGACTGTATTGGAGGCTTTGTTTGAACACGTTGCTCTGGCTCTACTACTTGCTGCTGAGTATCCTGCACTCGGTCAGGAGATTGTGGCAAGGTAGCTTGAATACCCGGTGATTGCGGTGGGAGAGGTGCGGATGATTTTTTGGACCCGGCTCTCATCAATGTGGCAATCTGTTCATCCGGAGAAGGAACGAATGGTGGTGGAGGTGGCGGGGGCGGTGGCGACCAGTGGTTGTGGTTCAAAAACGTCGACGACGACGTTGATTTTGGTGAAGTCGGATTATTAATTCTACCAGTCGATGTGTGACCTCCGAAAAAACTTGCACGTGCTGATGAGAAAAATCCTTTCTTGGTCGAGCTGCTCCTTGTTAAAGTTGCGAATCCCGAATTGTTGATGATATCTTTGTTGGGATTTGTGTTGTTGTTGTTGTAGTGGCTGGCACTTGTGACACGCTTGGTCTGGTCCAAGGTGTGACGTTTGTCTTGCTGGCTGCCAGGCCTCAGAGGTGAATCGAGAGTTTGCAGCGTTGTGGATTCAGTTGGAGATTTGAAGGGGACCGAAATGGTGCTTCTCGATGTTGAAAGGCGTTGGAATGCTTTGTTGTGGTCGGATTCTTCTCTGTGAGCTAACAACAACTCGCCGTCTTCAACGTTGGTGTAGTTGCTTTTGTTGCTGCTGCTGCTGATATTGTTGTTGTTGTGATTGTTCGCGTTGTTGTTGCTATGAAGTTTACTCGTTGAGCGTTTTAATGAGTTGTGCTTGTCGTTGTTAGAAATAGATTTGCTGTTGAAAAATGTAGACAGGTTTGTTGAGCTGTTTCTGTTGTTGTTGTCAGCAGTTTCTGGAGGAGAAGTGGGCGGTGGAGTTGTGAAATCGTTACTGCCGTCTGGGTTGTTGCAAGTTGTAGAACTTTTTCTTGTCTAAAAAAATTTCAAATTAAAATGCTGATAAAAATTTGCAAAAATAAATTCGTTTTTATTAATTCATACCTCCTTATTTAAATTACAAATTGATGAATTAAAAGTATCCACATAGCCAAAATTAGCTTACCAAAGTACTTTGTGAGTTGATGGACATGTTGTCCAGAGCGCTAACAACTGAAGGGGGCGGAGTTTTTATTGAGATTGACAATTCGGACTGAAAATCAGTAAAACAATTTGATCAGTCAACATAAATTTGCAGCAAATGTTTCCAGGATTTGAATTCAAATTAGAACTTAAACCTTTATCATCGTAATCTTTGATAATGGTGCTTTTAATCATCCTCAATGTTATCATTGTCATCATTTTATAACTAATACTATCGTCACCACAAACGCCATACCATCATCACCATCATCATCGCCATCATAATCATAAAAAACTAACATTTCTATCAAAATTTTGTTGTTGCTGTTGTTGTTGATGATGATAATGATATTGGTGATGAGCGATTAACGATTGAGGCCTTCGCGACTGACCACCACCGGCCACTGACGACGATGTCGCTGACGTTGAACTTCTGATGCTGATGGAGCTGGAGTGTCTTGAGAGGCCGTGTGGCGTGCCTGGTGGCGTCTGCAATGATTGATGGAAGAATGAATGGATGGACGGATGATTGATTAAATGAATGAACGAAAGTATGAATAAATGAATGAATGAAAGAATGCTTGAATGAATGAATAAACGGATGAATAAATGAGTGTATGAATGGGAAATTGTTCGAATAACAATTCTAGCAATTAGACTGAACAATAAAATGATGACAATATGAACACCAATAACAATGAGCTACGATGGTGCTAATGAACTTTACAAGATAATAATAATAATATTATGAATAATAATATTAATAATAACTGACCACAAACGGAACTTCTTGACGATCAACATCGGTGGATCTGAAATCATCAACAAAATCTTCGCAGTATCTGATTATGCTTTCAGAATCTTTGGTCTGCTCGGTTAAGACACGTGTCACCTCGTCCAGATGCGTCACCTCCGTCAATAACTCGCATTCCTTTTCCTGTTTTATCAATGTGTATCAAGAGCAAAATCTAATATTAACAAGAATGATATGTAAACAGCTGTTTGGCTATTAATAATAACTTTTGTTTTTTTAGCTAGCCAAAACAAATAATGGATTAATCAATAAACTGGTTTACTTATACAGGTAATCAATCAATCAATCAATCAATCAATTAACCAACCAACCAATCAACTAACCAACCAACTAACCAACCAACCAATCAACCAACCAACCAATCAACCAACCAACCAACCAACCCATCAATCAAACAAACAACAATAGCAACAAAAACAAACCAGCAACGGTTTCAGACATTTAACGAAAAAACTAAAACGCTGGCGCTCGTGTAGGGTCAATTTTTTTAGGGCCACACTTTCATTGGTCGAGAGGTCATTGTACTTGAACTCCACTGATTGCATCTTGCTGTCTAAACTAGGTTGAAGTTTGGCTGCGTTACCTGTCGGTTAGCAGGACAAATTTGCTTTGCGGTTGGTTCAAAGTTATTTTCTCTTATTACAATTATCCCCAAGTGACAATAGCATATCCACATTGCGTGACGTTAACGCATCTTACACCTATGCCTATGATGGCAGAGGCCGTCTTCGAACCACGTATTCTTGCCTTGTTGCAAAGGATGGTATTCACTTTTAAAGATTTGCTTGATATTTCAATTTCAAGACAAATCTTCTAAAAAGTTTGTTCAAAATATTTTTCAGTCCTTAAAACAAATTAGTGACTGAATAATTGTAATATACCGATCGTAGTTTTTACAGTAAACATAGTGAAGAAACGAACGAACGAAAAAATGAACGAACGAACAAACGAAAAACCTAACCTCCTTTCTCAACTTGTTTCTTCAGTTTGTTCGCCTCAGTCATGTTCTTTTGGATCTCATTGTTTAATTTCTTGTATTCTGAGAGATGAGAGTAATTTAATATAAACTTTTAAATAATAATAATAAAAATAACTAAGTAATAATAATAACAATAGTAATTATAATTATTTATTTCATAATTATCATCTTCATTGATAGTATGAGATACGCAGTTTGACCTTTTGAGTGGGCATGGTCCATTTGGACGACAGTTTTCTTCCAATCATCGAGAAGGCCTGGAATTGGGGAAAATGTTCCGCCAAGGATGCTAAAGACAACAAATAAACCATAATAATAATAATAGTAATAGTAATAATAATAATACACCCACAATACATCACACAAACCATACAAACACAGACAGTTCATCACATATGCCTGGCGTATGATGGTCATTGAGTTTCGCTAAGACAGTAATCGAACCAGGTAGTCGCGCCATGACGAAATGACGGTATAGCGCTTCTACCGACTGAGCAGACTTGTCATCACATAGTCATCATTGCATCATCATCAATATCATCACTAACTACGTCAACTTCATCATCAATATCATCATTAGCTACGAATCCAAAACTAACACCGCAAATTCTCTCAGCTTCTCTTCAATGCTCTTCTGCCTCAAACACAACCTTGTCAAAGTCGCCCCTATGTCCTTTACTGCTCCTAAAAATGATGATAATGATGGTGATGATGATGATCTAGAAGATGAAGACGATGATGATGATGACAAAATTGTTTGATAAGAAAGAACGTGAAACGATGATGATAATGTTCACGGTGATGATGAAAATGATGATGACTTAGTTTTGACAACAACGACATCGTAAAAATTTAAAATCAACAACATTGCGACATCGTTGTCATCATCGTTGTCGTCGTCGTCATCTTTTTCATCATCCCATCCTCATCACATCATCAGGCGTCATGATATGAGTTACAACAATGATGGTACAGCAGTAACAAGCTGCTGTACCAACGGCACGTTCTATTGATTGGCCCACCAATGTCCAACAAACATACAAGAACATATTCGTGCATACATATACACACACACACATAAAAACAAACATACACATATGAACACAGAGACACATTCAATGTACTGTACAGTATAATTTATTCAGTAAATTGAAAAACCTACCTGCATACATATTTAATTTAAATTATACAAACATTTTTGTAGTACACATTACGTAAACGTTTGTGTATTTGTGTGTGTACATAACATTATACAAATATCTGTAAAAGTGTACGTGCATGTGTGTGTATGTGCGTATAGTACATATGTTTCTGGTGTATATGTGCACATGAAGTAAACAAACACATATATACATACATGTGGGCAAATATATGCGATGTTTTTGTGTATTAAACAGATGTATGTATATGGTTTTGGCAGTTAGAATTGAAAAGTAAACATTTTTATAAGACATTAATTTATTTAAAATTTTTTAGAAAAGCACTTAGAGCAGGGAGGGGTGGGCAAATTATGGCCAGAAAATGGTCGACAGCCAGACATTATGATCAAAAAAGAAGCCAAAAATTTAAAAGTAATTTTTTCCCGGGTCGAAAAAATTTGCTGTTTAATTACATATGCGGCATCATCCTATTCATCTTTGCAATTGTTGCCATTGTTAGTATCATCATCATCATTATCATAATTGTACTTATGGCAATGATGGTGATGATGACGACAATGATGATTATGATATATATATATATATATATATATATATATATATATATATATATATATATATATATATATATATATGACATGACATGACCTCTCTGACCTTTTGAATTGTTAGCCATGTCGGCGACCTTCTGCAGTGAATCAATGAATGACACCATTGAAGCGGTTGTTGACCTGGTGATAAAGATAATGATGATAATAACAATGATGATGAAGAAGATGATGATGTAATTATAATAAGGATGCTGACGACGATGATGATGACTATAATGACGATGATGACGATGACGATGATGTTGACGACTTACCATAAAGAGCCGCACAGCTTATTCGCTTTTACTGTGAAATCTTGCCAAACTGAAGAACTACTCTGAAATTTAAAAAAAAAAATGGAAGCTATTAACTCACTCACTCATCGCAACTGATAATAACATCTAATCATCTCGTTATTACAATATGATATGGATATCACATATATATATATGATATGATCGCAACTGATAATAACATTTAATCATCTCGTTATTACAATAGAACAGGATATAATATGATATATATGATATATGATATGATCGCAACTGATAATAACATTTAATCATCTCGTTATTACAATAGAATAGGATATGATAGGATATGATATATGACATGATATGATACGATAAATGATATGATATGGTACGGTATGATATGATATGATATGATACGATATATGATATGACATGATACGATATATGATATAATATGATATGATATGTTAAGAATAATATGATAAGATATATCGAAGAGTTATATCCGATATATCTGACGGTTAAATGGTTTGAGGATATCATATCATGTCTATTCAATTAATCTGGCAATAGATTTTTCTAAATTAGGCAATGTTATTTCGTCAAAACCGTTCAGAACAAATAAAATCAAATTAATTTTTGCCATAACAATCTCAAACACATCTAAGAACACTCGAAATAATGAATAACATTTAGAATAATAGAAAATCAAATTAGGTTACTAACTAATAGTAGTATATTTCTATTACTACTACTACTACCACTACTACTACTACTACTACTAATATTTATACTACTACTAATACTACAACTACTACTTTTATAGCTACTACTACTGCTGCTGCTTCTACAGCTACTACTTATGCTTCCACTGTTATAGCTACCATTGCTGTTACTACTACTTGTGCTACTGCTGGTACTACTATAGCTACTACTACTACTACTACTGCTAGTACTACTACAGCTACTACTACTACTACTACTACTACAACAGTAATAATAATTTACCGTTGTATATATTACAAGACAACTAATCGATACCTAGAAATGAGGATTAAACATAAACACACTCATGCATGTACTTAAACTTATTTGATACTCATTATAACCTCGAGTACTTTTGTATGTTTGTGTGTGTGGGTGTATGTATGTGTGAGTATGTATGTATGTGTATTTGTGTGTGTGTGTTTCTGCAGACACACACAAACGCAAACACAAACACACGCACACACACAAACGCCCGTACGTCATAGAAATACCTAAACGAACTTTCTCAACTCCACACCTGCATATGGAAGAAGAAAAATAATTGAGATGCAAAATTTGGTAAAAGGGATTGTAAGATATAGCAATAAACATTTTTAAAAAATAACAACAACAACAATACTAACAACAACAACACTAACAATAACTACATCAACACCAACAACAACAATATTTGCAGACATAAAATATACGATGATTAATATATAAATAAAGGTGTGCATGAG